GAAATTAAATATGAACATAAAATTGATACTTAGATGCTAATGTATATTTCATGAATTGTGTAATTATAGTAATGAAATCAAAATATTTTTTATATATAGTAAAGTTATAATCAAAAAAATACAAAATCGTTGAAAAATATAATATATACCTATCATTCATATATATAATATTGTTCAACTATAGTTTGTGATGTGAGTGTAGCTGCTGTATAGAAGGTATGAATTATAAATTATCTCACAGTTGTATAATCAAATAGTTTTTAGTAAACACATGGAAACTATTCATATTTTTTTCACAAGAAAAATTATTTATTTATAAAACTGCTATTTATTATAGTTATTTTATTATGGTGTAGATAACAACTTTTGACAGTAAATGCATTTTTTAGTTCACGAAACATTGATAATAAGTCGTTAATATTAATTATACTGTTCGTTAATAAAACAAATAAAATATGCATTTTATATGCTTATTTATAGAGTAAAGCACTTTCTTATAAAACATATGATCATTAAGAATTAGTTATCAGTTTAATTAAGTAGAAAGTACCAGTATCATAAAGGTATCGATTCTGATTGAGGATCGATCTAATTTAATATTATGGTAAGGTAAATCAAGTAGGTTACTAAAATTACCATACACATAATATGTCTTGATTTATAGAAATAAGCTAATTCAATAAAAGTCTTAATTAAGTTATTGAGAGTAAAAAAAGAAATCCAACTTAAATCGTGTTGGTAATACAAGTACCGTCTCGAGCATATATGACAACAGACTTCTTAAAAGTTATTGATGAGTAGGTCAGCCATTCCAGTGGAATAAAATTCGTTAAATGACTGTAAATGCAATCATAATAAGATATCAGAACACACTTTAACGCAGCACAAGAATATTGTTACGAAAACCTATCCACATATAATATAGCCACTCGTTTATATATACGCAGCATAAACCGTTTTTAGGACTTCGAAGTAGGTACCTACACTCTTATATACCATCATAACACTCATGTTCTGGCTCGCTCTCAAAAACGATGATGCGCATGTGACGTCGTTCTTCAAGACCGTATGGGGTAATAAACTATTCACTTGACACGAAAACTCTACTAGCATACTAGTAATACGTATTACAAGTGTACACGCTATAGAACACACGACGGCATACATATATAAGAACGTAAGTTTTCATTCAAGTACCTTATATCTAATATATATTATTATGTACATCGAGTAGACCAACGACAAATACCTATAAAACCCCCTTCACTTTCTATAAAATAATTCTCGAATGCAGCAGCTGTACGCCTGTTATATAGTTCCAGTTAACCGGTTCAAATGCTGCTCGTTATTATTATTATTATTATGGTTTACTGGAGATAGAAGAACTTGCACGTAGGTATAACATATTTTTCTATACCTACCCAACARTATTACGGTCGAGTGGTTCAAGAAAAATAGATTACTCGAAAAAAAAATATGCTTTCCGACAAGGTCGTATATTAAATTATTAACGTTATCCATTTATTTATTATTACCTATTACGTTTTTTTTATATATATATATATGTATACATAATATAATATATATATATAATAACTCAACGGAGAACGAATAGGTTAACCTATCGATCAATTTCCCCAGGTGGACATCGACCGGCAGGAATGTATTTATTTGTTTGTAATTCACGACAGGGTTCACCGGCAGTGGAACGTGATGGTATCGTGGTGTATAGTTAATATAACATTATTATTATTCGAAGGACTGAACATTGACAAAAAATAAAAAAATTAGATAAAATATTTACGAGACAATGGAGTGATCTCAATAGCTGTTATACCTCCTGCTGACTATAAACAGGAAGTTGACACAAATCAGAATTTAGATAACAAGTAACACAGGAAGGTGCCAAAAACATCCTTCGATACATTCTCGACCCCCGCTCAAAAATAATTATCTAAGTATAATTTTTTTTATTATGTAATAAGCATTATTTGTTTCATTATAATATATCTTATTTAATTTAAACCTTTAAAATGATCAAGCCCCCTCTGCTATCACATGCATTACGTACATACAGAGTAGGTGTGAATATTTTGTATAATTTGTTGTATTTAATGTTTTTTTATGTTTTCATAAATAATAATAAATTTAATCCTTTGGAAAATGTTTCAGAACTTGTACTAAATTTGGTTTGTTCTTGAAGCTTTATTTATAGATATTATATTATAGGTAGGTACAACTTGTTTTAGCTTTAAAGAAAAAAAACTCAGGTTATTCCACAGTTATCAGGACCAATAAATAAGTTAGAATAAATCTAAAATTATAATATTAAAATGACCGATTCCAATAATAATCAAATTAGATAATATTCAGTTTATTCAATCGATATCATTAACCACCTACCTCTAGGGAACCAGCTGTGCTAATCGTAATACGTTTAAACTATAGATAGTATGTTTAATCAATGTACGCTAAATTACTATGCAGGTTAACTTATTATTTAAATTAAACTTGATTATTAAGCTGGTAAATTAATGATAATAAGCAGTTTAAAAAAAACAACGTATACATAAATGCTCTATCATCATCGACTAAACATTTGAAAGAAAATATTAGATAATGATATGCAATTGTCATATAATTATAATAAAGTATTATGAGTGTTATGACATTGATTTAGTACTTTAATTCATGAGGTCGCAATAATGGACTTTCAAAGTTGGTTTTTATAAAAGAAATTAATCAATGTAAAACAAACGGTCGTAGAAGTTCACATTCGCCCTTGCCCAAAATCATGAATAGTATAATAATAGAAGATGTTTTATAACAGTGTGAACTGTGAAGTATCGTCCTCGAAAAAAAATAAACAGCATTTCCTGTATTACTATCGAGAAATAAAATTTTGAAATGAATGATATAATATACATTACGGAAAAAACTAAGTTTATTATTTTTCATTCCCTATACAAGATCACTGACATGAAGTCAAATTATATTAAATGTCATATATATTATGTATAACATACCTACGGTAACACTTCACACCTGCACCATCATCCCTAATTCGTAGTAATCTTGTATTTAAAATTTTTAAAAACTTCTAATTATCCTTTCGATATTTTCATCCGTTGACGTTGACGTTGACATATACCCAAGTATATAACCATCTAGAAAATTACAAACTTACCCAATCATTAAAACTGTATACAGAATGTTTTACTTTTTTTCTTTACTTAAATAATAATAATTTGTTAATATCTTTTTTTCAGCAAAGTTATTTATCGACCAAACATTGTTTCATTGCCCATTGCAATATAATTGTATGTTCACCGACTAAATTACATTGGATTTCAGATGAAAATTTAAAATTCGACGGACGGCATCCCGTTCGTCCAAGGTTTATCGGACACGATGCGCATAACTGAACGGTCACCATAGTATGAAATATATTTTATTTTCCATCGTTTTTAAATTCGATTCGAGTACCTATAAAATTTCAACACAATGGCACCCGTACATTATTTTTAATCACCCGTTGGATACATTATTATAAGACAGAGTTCATAATATAGCGTATATGTGTTGCAATGCATAGTGTATGAACAACAATACACTCCTACGATCTTGGTCCAGTTTTCGTAGCCTATTATTTTATTATATTCTTTTTTCTATAATATTTCATATTCTAGTTTATTKTTTAGTCGATGTCTGAAATCTATGGAACTTAATGTCATATGAGTCAATGAACAATAACTATAATATAAACAAATTAAATTATTTGAGAAAATTAAAGTGACCTTCAAAACTTAACGACACCCTTATAATGTTTTGTTTAAATATAAATATATAGGTACATAATATGTCTAGCGTATACACAAGTCGTTTAATTCTAAAACTTCTCCGAAAGATAGCGATTTTACTTGAAAATGGTTCAAGCTAATTTGACATTTATTTGTAAATTGTAATTATAAATTACTACAGTGAATACCATACCTAAATACCTAATCGCTTACTGGGTGGTATCGAGCTGATAAATCGACATGATATTATAATCGCTTTTAGATTGTTGTTAGGAACGTCTATTTAAAATCTGAATAATAGTCATGCAACACCTTAAATTTTAATGACAGTCGTTAAATCGCCAAATATTTGTGTTTACAACAAAATAATATTTTCTAAAATATTTATGATCGAATATAATATTATTATAATGGTTATGTTTAAGGTTCGAAAATTATAAAGAAAATAGTTAATGAAGTAAACAATTTTAATAATTATGTACACAAATGTTATAGCCCCCAAACAATAACAGGATAATTTAAATGAATCGTATTTAAACCACACGCATTCCTACCCGAAGTTAAAGACGAACCCATAACACTACAACTGTTAAATTATTTGCGTATTTTTATGTTCGTAATAATTACGGTTCAAAAAATAACGTATTATTTGTTTTTGAATATTCACAGAGCATGGGAACAGCGCATCACTCGGGCGTGTTCGGCAGACCGTGCCTCACGTTTTCTGTAGTACCTACTATAATAATAGACCCTTTCGGAAGACCAGCATTCAAGTCACCCGGTGGAACTGCGCAAAAACTATCACCAACTAGTCATATTAATACGAAATTATTATTATATACATCGATAAGAACTGGTTCAATATCAAACCGAAACGTATAATCTATCACACGGGTATCGCGTTATCGTATCGATCGACGATAACAACGTTATATACCTATACCAAAAATATATCATAATATCGCGTTACCCCAACCTGTCGTTCGYTTTAGCGATCGGCGTGAATGAGTAACAAGTGTACCTACCTACAGGGAAAACAAAGCCCTAGAGTACACGTTACGTTGTAACAATATTATATTATCCGAAACGGGCTCGGAGGTCGGTGAGATTTTGGCTACGGCCATCGGCTTTCAGCTTGTCGATGACCAAACCAATTTTATTGTAACTAAATATTATCAATACAATAATTATGGTCTTTACCTGGTCTGACGAGTCGTCTGGGCGTGAGCTGCTCGTTTTTGATATAGGTAGGTCTGGTTAATTAAATACGTCTTGTATTCACCACGTGCACTAGGTACGATCGTTTATTAATATTATTATTATTATAGTACGGATAAGAGAAGGAGCGGGGGGTACGTGACGAAAACCGACTCTACACAACGAGGGGATGGCGCCAAAAAGAAAACAGACAAAAGACGGAACAACCGTAACTATATGAGGGAGGAACAGGTGCACTGAGAAAAAACTGGACGCGACGACCAGAATTACGGACGATTGGTAAACGACTGTCGAGACCCCGACTCACCGACAACCGATTGCTGCTGCTGACGCCGCCGCCGACTCGGTGTTGCGGGACCGGTTCGTGTTCGACGGCGGCGCGCCAGTGGTCAGCGCCCCTCCACCCCACCGCCCGCGCAGCCGCAAGCACGTTTCGTGTTTTTCGCAGTGGAGGCGACAACGCGCGCTCACATTATTTTACTGAATAATGACGATAATATTATTATCACGTGTATCGACTATCGGGTGGTGTACATGTTATGTATATTATTATAGTACATCACATATTGTGTCAAACACTCGATCCAAGTCCTATTTAAAATAATATCTATAATACCTGTAAGACTATAGTATACAGCCGTCTGTTTCGGCGACAGGGTGTCATATTAAACGTTTTTTGTTATTTAAAAATAGTTTTGAAAAAAAGTACCGAGGCTTTCCACCGTGGAGTTTAATTATTTATTGACTTAACCAAACTCGAAATAAAAAGAAAATTATAAATAGATTATATATTTTTTTTTGCTGTTCTGGAATAAATGGAGCTTATCACCCATGCAGGTTTTGAATTTTTATCTAATGATATATCAATGTTTTATTGATAATGAGTGTCGATACACCTGATGAATCTCGAGTTGGACTTACTTTTAGGGTTATAACTCCTCTAAAGCCAATAATATATTTTTCATCAACTCGTCCTAAACTGTTGACAAAATGTAGTGGTTGTATGAGCGGGTGTAAACATTTTGAATTGTATGARAAATACTATGGACTTTGATGTACATGTGATTTGATTTTATACATTATTGACCAAGTTACTACGTATATTGAAATTAATTAAATTATTTAGATGCTAATACTGTTGAAAAATGAAAAGCGACAAATACTTATCTGTACAATTTCAAACATTTTGTTTTCCCATACAATTTGTTAAAATTGTATCAGTCTTAAATCAATAACGTGGGGCCACATATTTTATTTCCTAAAAATCTTTACTATTCACTAAGCAAATGTTATTCAAAAACTGCTTTCGATGTGTGTGTGTGTGTTTCAAAGTTWGGCCTGGAGTCGGGTAGTAGATGCAACAATTAGTAGGTAAGTACGAGAGTCGAGGGTATAAGTATAAAATACACTGTATAGTCTGTATAACATAATATTATCACAGTACGTATATGTACTCATATATTATCATATCATTCGTGTGTCTATAATATGTGAGTCGTGTTATACTTGCACACGTCTTATAGTTTTACGTAAACTCTCATCGTCGAAGTTTAAACAATAGATTTTATGTTAAACATTTATCACGTCAATATCGCGAATCCAAAAAAGCAAATGTCAAAATTGAAAATAGCGACGGCAAAATAGTTAACGTATATTGTTTTTAAATAATCATTATTGTACGTTTTTAGTAATACATCAGAGTTTAGTCGTAAATCCAATTAAATATTAAAAAATTAAAGCATAAAGATATTATAATATATTTATAATTTATACTTGTAGTGATAAATTATAGGCTATGCCTTTCAAATAATTTAAAATAGTTCTATCTGTATATATTGTTTTTGAATTTCTAAAATTCTTAATGCTCTTTTTTCATTTCTGTGTGAGTCTGTTCTTGTTTGAACCCTTCTATAGTTTCCAAAGAGTTGGGTGACACGATCCAAGCAAATGAWTAAAACCACGGTTTCAACCTATATAATATGTAAAAATCTATTAAATATACTTAATATATTTTAGATATATTTATTCATAAAAATTAATTACCTTTTACAGAATTATTAGTCTTTGGAAAATCTATCGTGTCATAACAATTTCACATTTCCAAAGAAAATGTTGGACCTCGACGTCGTTTATGCACAGTCTTTCAAAGCCAAGTATCTTCAAAGTAATCCAGTAGTGCTCGAAAAAGTTCTTCGTGTTCTATGTAATAATCACTTTCACATAAGTGTTAGAAACTTCCTATTATGTCAGATACTGGTACATAAGCAAGTGCTGGTAACAATCGTATTTGAATACAAAGTTCTGTATCAGTTAAATATTTTTCATAGACTGTGGTTATCGATTGTATTTTTCGCCATATACATTGACTTAATTGAAAGTGACAACCATAAGAAATTAAATTGGGAAAATTTTCCTTAAATGCCAACATTGCACTTTGTTCGAGGTCAGTCATATTAGTTTTATGATTTAATGGTATATGCGATTTTAGTGTTTTGATTAAATAAGAATATGATTACTACAGATAAATAATAAGGATAATACATTTAAAATAAAATATTTTAACTGTTTTTACCATTCGCTATTATGGTTTTTAGCTATTTTGTCATAGCTATTTTGAAATTTGCTTTTTGACGTTGACTCGACTCAAACTATATAATATATGTATATAGGTACACTGATATTCTGCGCAATGCGCACACCGTTTTCCGGGGTTATTTTATAACACATGATAGTATAGATATTCGTATAAATACCTATACGTAATATTAATAATTATAAGTCCAAGMCCTTAGGGCGGGTGAGGAAATGAGGCATGTGTCTTTGTGTTTCATAATTTTTTTGGTGGTGGTGCCAAATAAAAAAATTTATTATATTTTTTTTTTTGGTGTGTTTCTGTTTTAGGTGTTATAAATTTAATACAAAAAAGTATAAGTATAAGATTCAAGTACTTATATTATGTACAGATAAGTTTGGTATGTATATCCAAATATAAATTCTAAGGAGTAGTTTTTTAGTTATTTAATTTTGTGTAACGAGGATAATAGGTTTGYCATTGTACGATATAGAAGCTTTAACRATTTGAAAAAATGGTCCTTTATTGGGTTTACTAATTAATTATAAAAATCACAATTATTTGAGTAAATGTATTATTAAACTAAAAATGGAGTTGAGCATGCTAGAAGAATTACCCTGTTTATACCTATATTGCTATTTGCTAATGACAATTGCACATATTGCAGTTTTATGTATTAAACTTTAATAACAAATTCCTATATTTTATTTATTGGAAGAGGAATGATATTTTATTTATTTTAAATAATATATGCAATATAGACAAACACAAATACAAACTATAATAATATTATATTAGTTATTATTTATTACTGTATTAGTACACAGATTATTGAGAATTGGCTGTATTACAGTTTATACATTATTATTATTTATGTGTTGTGTAATTGTTATGTAAAATTAAATTCAATAGTATTTTATATCCACTGTCGGACTGTCCACTGTCCAGAGTTACACAGGTATTATAAAATAATATTCACAGAAAGACAGTTATTTATATTATTACACTATAACAGTAATCTACGAATTAATATTTAAAAATCTAAATTKGTGTTAAAATAAACAAAAAATAAAAAATAAAAAATATGCTATACATTCAAAGAAATTTTCATTGTACCTCTGCAAACTATTTTATTTTCAATAATCTTTATCAATTAAGTTCATCTTAAAAGTTTAGAAAAAAATCTCATTTATAATAAATATTAATTAAACTAAGTAGTACAGGTAAAMTATAAATAAACAATGCAAAACACAAAAAAAATTAAATTAAACATACCTCTAGTTAAAAAAATATGATGTATTTCAGTTGTGTTCGCAGGATTTTAATTCGGATAGGGTTTTGCATGAGAGTAAATAATTCAAATAATAATAAACAATTTAAATAATTTTCCTAACAATTTTTATATAATTGGTTATAACAAATTATAGTTAATAATAAATTAAAAATTCTGACTAAGTGCAGAGTCAACGAAGAAGAAAGGAAAAATCACAACATATCATCAAGCCTGTACGAAATAATCGGTCCCGACTGCCAACCAGAAAAAATTTTAGCATTCCTCAAGTCATTAAAAGTAGAAAACAGCATCCAATAATAAATAGATTAAGTGACTAATATGTAAAAACTTATAAATAAAAATGTAATTGTGAAATTGTCAAAAGCTAATAGTCTATGCTGCTGAACCTAAATTTCCAATAACAAAAAAAAAAAAATTAAAAATTAAATTTATATCTATTAAAAATTATCAACAATTTATCGACTCTGTGTATTGAAATATTGGTAAATAATATATTTTTTGTAAAATGAAAACATTTCAGGGGAGTTCAGAACCCTAGAACCCTACCCCTGCGTACGCCAGTATAATGTGTAAATCATTCTAACAATATATGTTTATTGAGTTTATTTATATTATATATTATTAAAGATTTTGTTAAGTCGATTGTTTAAATTCCAATTCACTATAAATAGGTACKTGATAAAAGTAAGAAATAATATGAATAATAATTAATAAAATAGAAAATCAATAAATATATTTTGAACTAAGGTAATACGAAAAATCAAATATTTTTATTACCACTACTTCTAAAGCACATAATATATTAGATATTTATTGTAGTTTGGTAAAGACATATTTAATTTATACCTAGCCACTTAAGTTAATTAATACATACATATTATACATAACTACTAATTACAATGAGTAAAATGTACATATACTACATATAATATGTCATTGAAAGTTAAAATTTACAATATCAGTAAAATATTTTAATTAAGACCATCATTTAGTTTATGGTACCGTAATCTTTTTTACATATATGCAATATCTACATACATGTATATAATACATAGTTACTCATTTTGTATACATGTACATATGGTAATTATAAAGATTTATATATTGCAGTACCTATACACGAACACGATATCCTAAAACTATAATTCAGTATTTTTCAACAAATTTTCAAAGTGAATATGTAAGAAATATGTAAGCCTAGGGAGAAGGGAGACACTAATAAATTTGAATAAATTTAAAATAACAGCAAGGAAAAATTGCAATCTGCGGACAGATTATATATTTCTGGTTCATATACCTAAGTAGGTAATTTATTAGTCCCACATTAAATGTTACCAATAGTTATAAACGTTGTACCTATTGCTCAATTGCTCGATAAAAATTCTTGGATAATATGTTACGGTAAATACAAATATCTAAACATGAATGATAAGCGTATTA